GTGTAAAGGAGGTGGGATAGCCTGGCAGATGTTTTTGATGTTTGATAGCTATGGCCTGACTTGTTCAGTATTGTTGACAGAGGAGTCAGTGCAATGGATATGGTGGAAGCAAAGGTGGTTTACAAGGATAGGTATGGAGAGGTATAGTAAATGTTGTTCATATAGACTAAATTCTTTTCTCTTCTGCTAGTTTGTCTGCTAGTTTTTTGCTTAGTTCTTGTTACTATTTTTCTTTGCTTTGCAGAATGTTGCAATGCAGTAGCATAATGGGCATATATGTAAACATATAAGTCACAAAATTTAAAAATGTATAGGTGATGGACAAATTTCAAGTTCGATTAGAATTAAAAATGCAAAAGAATAGCAACAACAGAATATCCAGATTATGACACTTTCAACCCAGGCAACAGTGTGTGTTGCATCCATTATTAAGGCTTATACTATACTGAATTCAGTCTGTCATATAGGTAACAGTGTAGTTTGTTTTCTTCGTTGCTTTCCTGTCCTCAAGTATTGCCTCAGATATGACTTTGGTAAGCATAATTTATCAGTAGGAGAAAAGAATCTGCAAAGCTAGACAATATAATGTCAATAATTTTCTTTAATAACTTTATTGATAACATTCTTTCAGTTACTTAATGTAACATTTTATCATATGTTTTCATAAAACTATTAAACGTTGTTACTGCAATAGTAGTAAAAATCAAAAGATTTATTTGACCTGAAAAAAAAAATAATCAGAGTATGCCCTGTTAAGTAGGCCTGTATGGTATTTTTATTAACTAGGCATTAATTCTGAAAATAGTACTGAATGGTGTTGTCTAGTTTCCTTGAGACTTCTAGTCCAGAAATAATCAGTTTACACATTACATATGCCACAAGGTACTAATGAAAAGAACTCCCCAGGTGAAATGAGATAATTTTAAAATTGTCTTAAAGCAACTAATTTAAATCAACACTAACACTTTCAGAGATGGCACATTTTGGCCATAATTTGTCCAGAGTTAATGCCTAGTTAATAAAAAAAAAAATTCCATGAAACTGTGTAGATAAGCAGGCATTTATAATTGAAATCCACACCCTAATTAATTACCATGGTATCAGGATTAGCATAGATCATAGTTTGCCTACAACTGCAAAGTATAGCTCAGACTAAGAAATAATGTATTGAACTATATTCTCAACAATATCTGGTAGGGAATGCATAAGAGTAGGGGTTCTTTCTAACTTGCCAAACAATGACATGGAAAATTGAATTCATCAGTTAGCTTATAAATGCTACTCTTTGTGCTTCTGTCAATCCTGCATGAAATCAGTACCTGCAGACAACAGCACTATCTTTATGTTATGTCTTTTCACCTCCATCAGTGGTCAACAGAAATATTTAGCCATGGAAGGCTGTAGTAATCACAAGAATTACAATTAGCTGAATATGTGTGGATCACTTGGTGGAGGGAAGCTGCTGTTGCATCTTTATGGCAAATGCCATATGCATATAGATGCAATAACAACAAAAAATAATTTCTTAAAGTAATTTTTATTCATACTAGTCTTGTTATGTCCTTAATGTACTGCAGGACATGAACCTTGATGTACCACATCATTTAATCAGAATATTTAACTATCTCAGCAACTATTATTTTACATTTTAAAGCAGCATTTTTTTCCTCTGTAAATGTATAAACCTAGTGCTAATACAAAGGCCAGTGCTGTGTATTTTTTAACTTAATCAGCATGTTGCTTGTCGGAGGCTTATAAAAATCTTGTGGATTTGCATAGCAATAACTTAAGAGATTTGTACCATTCTCCAAAGATTCATAAATAACACCAATAAATACATTGCATGGTCCTTTTTAACACAACCATAGTGCAGTGGGCAGTTTGAAATACTAAGGCAAACATCAACGTTGTCAAGTTATGCTTCAACAAAAGTCCTGTTGGTTGCTTACTATAATTTATTTTCCCCTATAAAGGAAAAGAAGAAAAATCATTGCTTCTGTACACCTGCATATTAAAGATGAATGCTGTTATTAACAGAAGCTTGTGCCGATATGAATAATATTCTGCACTGCATGCATCAAGTATTGTGTTAGATGGCAGAAAGCAGTCTATCCTAAGCACTCACTCATTGCCACAGCTAGTTTTAGGATTAGAATGATAGAGCAACCGGCCATTGCATAATATTGTACTTGCACATTGAAGTTTATCCATGGTATAAAGGATGCTGTTACAATTATTGTTCAAACATGAGGTTGGGTGGCTTTCAGATATTCATTCAAAGTTGTTGCTGCTTCGACATTTTAAATGTTTATTCTGCTTTCTTTTTTCTTTTCCTTTCACAGTCCTGGTACCTGGGCTAGCTTGGTCCCCTTTCAAGTATCAAACAGGACATCAATCCTGCCCACAAATGTCCAAAATTATGGTTTGAACATAATTGGAGAGCCTTTTCTTCAAGCAGAAACAAGCAACTGAGGGAGATTGAAACTGAACAAATACTATAAAAGAAAGGAAGATGGGACAAAAAGCAAAGAAGAAACTGAAGAAAGAAGAAACATAAACCAGCAATTGCAGCACTTACAATCATTAATTCCCTTAAGATTGAAACTATAATGGCAAAAACAACAGCAACAACAAAAATGTTGGGATGGGGGAGAGGATCAATGATATTTCACTGATGAGTGGAAAGATGCTCCTCCTGAGTAGCCTTTGTTCTATGAAATCCACTGGGAAATAGATGTTCTGTCTCTGACAATATATTTTAACTGACTTTCTAGATGCCTTAATATTTGCATGATAAGCTAGTTTATTGGTTTAGTATTCTTGTTGTTTACGCATGGGATCACTATTCCTAGTTAGCTCTCAAAACAAAGGCTAGGAGGCATCCACAGAACTGCAGGAGAAGGAGGGCCACAAGCTATTTTTTTCTCAGCAGTCTGATTTCTAAAAGATTTTTCAAAGAAAAAGAAATTCAGCTTTTAGTTGTCAACCCCAATTTATTTAATTTAGGCCCTTAACCCAGTCTTTTCTTAGTGTGTTACCCAGTTTAAATTTTTCAGGAAGTCATTTAAATAAGCAGGCATTATATAAAATCAATGGCTTACTTTGGGTAAAAGAAAGTGTTACCTTCTCAAATGACAGTTTAAAAAACCTGAGAAAGACACTAAAAATAATTCCCCATGCTAATGAAAACACTTAGAGGCAAGTGCAATTTAAAAACTGTATCTAAAGGGGATAATTGTTATAAGTCCTTTAGCCCTTGGACTCTAAATCGAGGGGATTAAAAGACAAGATGAATTTCAAAAGTATTTCGAACAAATGTATTTTTCCCTCACTTTTGAAAGGGGGGGTCATTAAAAGGCATTAACTAAATCAAGACAAATCATTTACTTGAGAAAAAGAAATTAATTGAAACGCAGCACTTATGTTGATTTAGCTTCTGCCTCCTTTGAGGTATCTTATTTATTTAAAGTTACTGGTTGGATCAAGAACCCATAGATAATGGAAGAGGTTCCATAGAACCTTCACGACAGAGACTGAGAGAGGTAAATCCATGTCACAGGGGCATAGCTTCCGGTTTACAAATGGGAATGACAGGTTGTTGGGTTGTGGGAAGGGGAACTGAAATATATTTTTTAAAAATGCACTCTTTAAAAAGCCTAATGACAGGGTGCTGAAAACTTGCATGGTGCTCTCAGAAATTAGCCTTGTTTGACAGATTTCTCATATACACAATATTGTGCATGGGCAGATACATTTTGCCTCTATGTCTCTATAAAAGAATAATTAAAACTACTCTATCCAGTAATCCTAATTTGCACGAAGTTATAATGTCCACATAACGTGCCTTGCCTTGAAATCTAAAAAGTGACATCACTACACTTGTTTTGCTGCATTTATTATCATTTTAAATCTGTACCATTTTTATGACAAAATATTTTGTACTCCAGATGGGAAAATAACAACAACAAAAAGTGACATCATGGATTTTTTAAGCAGTTATAACTTTATCTCACATTTATAAAGCATATCATGGCTGTGTATAGTTGCCGCTTAAAAATTGTAATCGACCAGCAATATTTTCAGTATTTTGGTGTTTTTTCTATTAATCTTTCATGTTTTTCATCTTCCAATTAATATTGGGGGGAGGGGATTCAAATTTATACGAATTATGCAATACCAAGTTTTGCCTATGTAGGTAGTGCTTTTAGCTGTATTGGTTATTATAGGTAAGTACACAGATTTAAAAGACAAAAGATTAATGTATGCTTTTTTGTTTGTTTTAATTGACCAAAGTGGGTACTGCTATTTTTGCAGTGTGATGAGATCCTTTTTGTGTACTAAGAGATGGGCAGGGGATTTTTTTTTTTTTTAACTACATACATATATCTATATATTCTGGGGGGGGGGGGGAGGATTTTTAACACTTGACAGTGTAGCTGTGCAGCAGAGCACCATTGGCTGGGTGAGGGCTACAAAGCGACTCTTCTTCCTACTGTGATTTTTAAAAAAAAATCAAAAAGGTGTTCTCTTTTAAATTTCCCACCTGGGGTGCAAGCTGAAATCATTTCTGGATTGAAAACAATAACAGCAAAAATGAAAAATAAATGGTAATGGATTTTATTGGAGGCGGACCTGACTTGAGAAAGAATTACTCCTTTTAAAAAAAAATTAAGGTCTCAAGACCCACAGAGATCAAAAGCCCTGTAAAATTTTGCAAGTTATGTATCCGTCATATAAAAGACTATTTTGAGACTTAAAAATCACATAGTATATACTGCCAAAACAGTGGTCTTCCAAAGACGCTAATTGTATACTAAGTATTGAATTGGATTCAGTATTTGTTTTCTGCAAATGAAGGGATCTCCAATTGGAATTTCATGAAGGTTTTTTCCCCTTTTCTGCAGCCTTCAGTATCACTGGCTTCTATTGTCAGAGGTCAGGTAGGAATTGGGGACTGGACCGTTCAGTGACTAATCTGCCAGTGGAACGTTTTGCTAGATCAGATCCCTTCTGTAGCCTTGCTCCCATATAGACCTACACTACTGTTTCAGTACAAATCACCAAGCACAAAATGTACATACGCCATGTGTTTGTGGACAACCTGGTTATATATTAAAATGAGTATAGAAAACAGCCAGCGTTGATTGCCTAAATATAAAGGTTGCCCTGCTCGAGCAAGGGTGATTATATGTGATCACATCCCTCTTGCACAAAACTACTAAAATGTCCACACTGCATTTCTAATACTGGCAAGAACGCAAAGTAGTCCATCTTATTTTTGTGTTCTTACAAAGAGTAGCTCCTTTCTAAATAACTAGTTGTAAAGATCTCTTAGATTAGATAAAAATGGAAATGAATAAATTATTCAGACTTGCATTCTATTTTTTAAAATAACACCTTATGTAGACATGGCGCATATGTCTCTATTCTGATAAAGATAATGCCCATCAATTGTAATGTGCACCAACAGTAGAAGAAAATCATCATAATCTGATGCTTCTTTCCCCTTTCCAGGAGATAGAAATGAATATATGTACAAGTCCAATGTTAGTATTCACAACTGGCATGGATGTAGGTATTTCGTCCTTGGTATCTGTACTGAAAATACAAACTAAAACCCAAGGAATTGTTCGGTCTATGTGTATACTGACACGCAAGTTTGGTTTGCCTTTAGTTTCAGCAGATGTAGATTGATAGGCAGTTAATACACTTTTATAACATTATAAAGAAATATTTTAAAGAGTTCCTAATCTGCCCTTTTCAAACAGCTATGCAAAGAGAATGAAAATTACAACAGGGTACAATATTTCCCTTCAAATAGCTTCTTACTGAAAAAAATTGTACACTGCCATGAGCCACATAAGTGTGGCAATATATAAATAAAGTAAAACAATAAAATTACTTTGAAGAAGAGTATCCTAAAACATTGCCATTTGAGCTAGAGAAAATACTTTTAGATACTCGTTCCAAAATATTCATGTGAACCATGGCTTCTCACTTTTTTCCAGAGCAGTAGTTCAACATGCTGCTCTGAGCTAGAAAAGCATCTAAATAAGCAGTGCTTAGGGTTGCCATAAAATAAATAAATAATAAAAATTATCCTGATGTCCTGCTTTGACTGTGGCCTTTTGTACTAGGGGCTACGTCTCAACCAATTTCCACCTGAATTGCCACTGAATTAGCTGGCATTTTCCCTGTTGCAGCCTTCTTTAAAACGACGCTGAGAATCACAGATGCTGAAAGAGAGTCATTCTCTAGAGCTCCCTTTCTGCACCAATTCCTCTTGCACCAATAGAATGCCTTTTTGAGGAAGTTGCTTCTGTAAAGTCTAAGGGCAGTTGCAAAGCTGTACGATTGTTTTGTTGGTAAGGTTTGTATTTAGCTAAAGCAAGAATGAAACCAACTATATGTTGGCTCTTTTTTTCTGAGCCCCTTTGTAAGTGAATTAATTCACTAAATATATGGCTGTTGGGAAGAACCAAAATGTACAAACAGGTCTCACTGAGAGTCCCTTAGCTAGTGGCCCATAAAACCATGCACTGTTCTTTTGGTTAATCTCTTAATGACCACCATGTATGAATGGTGTTGTTAAAAATGGCTGGAGACCGATAGTCATTTATCTATCCAGCCCAATAATTTCTTTCATTTGGAACACTGAGACCAAGTTGATTCAGACTTTAAAGTGCAATAGTTTAATTGACAAGCAGAACATGACAGAGAATCGTTGCGACTAAACTTGATAATAATTCTGGCCTAATGAATACATCAAATGGATATATTTTTTTTCAAAGAGAATATTTCTAAAAGGCTACCTTGCTTCTTTAGATCCACTCTTTTGACATTGAATTGCCTGGTCATTTGGACCATCATCCTGACAAAACTTTCAGGATAATGTTCTCTGTGGGTTTTTCTGCCTCCCTTTGTAACATAAAGATCCATCATATCCACCTCTTCTACACTTTTCTCAGAGCTGAGAATTCTAGTGCAGAATGAAGTGTTGCAAACTGTAATCTAGTCTAAACCCCCTCCTTGATCAGGAAATATATTCTGACAAAATCAAGCCACCCCGTTCTATGTGCACTGTTCTGCCTTTTTTCAGTTGCTTTGCAGCCTTGACCTCTTGGCAGTGCCACTGAAGTGTGTTTTCCCCTAGAATGACATGAACATTTGAGGCTTGACTAAGGAAAAAAAGGCAGTGAAGGAGACTGTACATAGACATGGCAAAATATTAAATATAGCAATATAGTTGTGTGTTCAGGTGGGCAGCTCCATTTATAATATGTGAATGAATCTGTGAAGCTGCAATTAGAGAAGAACAGAGGATCTTCTTAATGAACCCACCTATCGTGTAGACAGTAATTTGTACACTGTATAGTTTTGTTAAGATTTTTTTTTAAAGCACCCTCGTTTGTAAAGCTAATTTTTAGCAATTATAATGGAAATGTATGTCATTTCCACTTTTAACGTAAACAAGAATCTTCCTTGTTTGGAAACTGGACTTGGGTTAAAACTCTCCAGTTTCTTAATTTATGTATTAAAACAAACAAAAAAAAGTCTGTCCATGTTACGAGATATTTCACTATGCTTGAAAAGCATAGGTTACTGATCCTTTTAAAAGAAATTGTAAATGGAGAAAAGTTATATTTTATGAAGGTTATTTTGTTGTATTTAGTATTGGAAAGTTGGGTTTTGGAGCATTTCAGAATGTTGGAAGCACCACTGTCTTTTTTTATTAGTATATATGGCCTTTAGCAAAAATGTTGTGATTGTTACATGATGGTATTTAAGAGCAGGTTCACAGAGCATCCAGGAGAGAATTTCAGTGAAAAAATGAAAACAGTACTTATGTCTCATATAGCAGTGTCCTCAGGGAGCAAAAATTTGGGTTTGCAATTAGGAGCTTCGTAAGGACTTACTGAATGAGATTGCACAAGGATATACTGAGCTTTATCAACAGTGTGTGTCCTGTATCTAAAACATTCTAAATTTTGTATACTATGTGAGATTGTGAAGGCTGCATCCCACATTTGATGTACAGTATTCACCCTTGAAAAAAGTCTCTACACCATTGCTGGCACCATTGCCTCAAGCATGACATTGACTATAGTTTACATATTCCTGTCAAGGTCTTTTGTTAACATTTACCAGCTGCATGCTTCCTAGGCTCTTATTTTTTTATTGGGTTTCTATAAAAGATGCTAAACAATGCAGGCAAATCATGTTGAACAGTGAAAGCTCAAAATTGAATGTCCTACTCCATGCTGAAGGAGCTGAAACCTGCCTCCTTCATATTTGCACTTTCTGAGACTTCCCCTGTTTTTCTATCTCTTCAAAATGGTGTGGGTGTGTTGGAGCCCCACAGTTGGAGGATAACACGGACCACTGGGTTTGCCCTTTGACCCGGCACAATGACCTTTGCATCAGCCAAACTTATTGCCATGACAACTCTTGTACTGTTTCCATGCCACAGCTCTATTGGTCACATTTGTTAATAGCAAAGGGGACAAAGTAGGAGACGGTCAATTTATACATTTTTGTTGCAATTTTTTTCCTCAATGGTTGTAAGTAGTTTTTTTTATATATATAATAAAAGGGTTCACTAGTTATTACTCCTTAGGATTATCTGTGTGTTGCAATTAAAATGTATGTTGACTTTGTGAAAGGGGCTTCAGTGGCACTAGCCACCCCCCACGCTCATCCAAGCCTTTGTTGCTTTTAGCGCTCGATACCGTTCCAGGAAGAACCGAAACAAACACAGCAGAAAGTACTACACCGAAAGCAGCGAGAGCCAGTGACACTGAAGCCAGTCTTTGTATTACTGTATTTTTGACAGAATGGTTTTGAAAACTGTGCTACAGGGACTGATGTGGCAGATGTGTATCTATATGCAGAAGGACTTTTTTTTAAATAAAAAAAGAAGTATGGCTTATTATGCATTCTTCATAGAGGGCATTGAAGTTGCATGGACTAATAAAAAGTTGATGCAAAACAAGAGAGAGAAAGAGACGAAAAAAAAAACCAGCAAAAAATGTTTACCAAAAAGAAAAAAAAAAAGCGAGAGAAATTTTAAAAAATGACCAGTGCCTGTTCAGTTTCACAGTCTCTGTTGAGTTCAGTTGTAAATATGTTTCAGATAACATTTACTTCAAAAAAAAAAAATTAAAATAGAAACTACAACATTGTAGAATGTGAGGGGTAACTCCATCCCAGGTTAGGCTTCTCAAGAGCTACATTAGATTATGTCTTCATCAAGCTGTTAATTTGTGCTTATATCATATAGAACTTTAGTGAACTGGGAAGAAGCACCCCAATCTCAATGATAATTCTCTAAGAACAATTTTTGTAGGGCTGTGTGTTTCTTTAGATACATTTAGTGCAACTGTAGGTGACAAGTAGTCAGTTATTGCTTGCTAGCTACACACCAGGGTTGATCCATTTTAAAACTTCTGGCATTGTCTGCCTTTCTCCCCAGAGCCAGAGGTCCCCAGTATGTTAGATGTACTTCTGTTTGGTTTGTTTTTAAACGCATGCAGAATTTTGGTGTAATGATAAATTTACCCATAGGATGCATATATAGTCTGCAGTTTTCACTTTTACAATTGGGACCTCGGGCAACCAGACTCTCTTTGGGGCCAGAAGGTTTGTAACTAAGGGTTCTGGGGAGAAGAACTGTGCTTATTTGCAGGACGGTCGTGTTGTTTGGAGTACTTTTCATTAGGTTACAAAGCTCAGCTGCCACAAGTTTTAAACTGGTGTAAATCAAGCTTGAGTTAATGTGATTTACTGTTATATCCAGCCTATATTGCTAGCAGCTGCCCATACTGCAGTCAATTACTGGAAGCAGATATATTTCCTATGCAAAACTGTTTAAACAATAAAATGAGCTATGCTACAGCCCTCTGGCCACTTGTGTTTTCTTTTCTCCCTCTTAACAGTAATAACTGATTAGTAATATTTTGGAATTTTTCTTTAGTTGTTGGTCTCTCAGACCATGTAGGTTAGGGTTTTCAACCTTCTGTTCCTTCTGCTTGATGTTTAGTTGAGCTCTGTGCGTACATGTATCCCAGCTTTCAATACACAGTTAAGGCTGCAGAGATAAACAGAACAATTTCTAAAATGAAGCAGATCTTTAATTGTTATCCTTATTTGATGACATACAAGAATTGCTAATGTTTAACCCTAAAATGTCTTACAAGTTTTTTTTTTATTATTATTATTTTGGAAACTTGACCTGAGATCTATTTTATTAGATCTCTTAGTTGGAGCGTTTATCACCATCTGCAATTCCTGATAGGTTTTAAAAATATGATTACTTACCTGGTGCATGTATACCAGAGTTACAATAATTCAGTGCATGATAGTCTGTGGCAAGCATATTAGTGGATACCTGGTTATGGATATCTGCCTTGATTTTGACTACTAGATCTGATCTGGGGGAAAACAAAAACAACAGGATGGCCACTAGATTACAATCAATGGATGCAGAAATTCCAGCATTTTGTCACTATCTAGTAATCTGGATTTTTGCAATGCAGATCTGGTAGCCCTACCTTCATCCTCAGCCCGTATACAGTAACATTGTGGAATGTTGGTTTTTCAAAGATTGAACTCAACAAGACTCCTCCAAGCTTGTAAAGAGCTTACCCTGATCTGACTTACAAACAGTTCATTTTAAATCATTCTGAAATATACTAAGGTTTATATTTATGGCAATAACATGAAATTCAGTTTAGTTGTGTATACTGTAGACCAAAAGCATGCTAGAAGAATACATTGCAGAAATACACATCCACTTTATAATATTTTTTGAACATTTTAAAATTTATTTTAAAAATTTAAGGAACAAATTAAACTACATAAAAGAGAAAAGAAAGTGAAAAAAGGCAAAGTGGATGTAAAAATCAATAAACAATCTACAATTGTCAAATTTAAAAATTATTTCATTGATTAATTCAATATGTACAACTACACTCATATCTTTATTATAAAGTAGAGATGCAACATTATAGACTATTAAAAATATTTACTGCATGCATTCATGTATTGGTCAAACTATTGTATATATATACTTTTCAAATTACTTGAAAATACTAAATATGTAACGCTTCCAAAATACATTAACTGAAATTTCTGTAATATGAGGTTTTTGAAATAGCTATTTTTAAATTCTTTTTTGCTCTGTTTATGCTTAACAGTAAACCCTTCGAACCATTTATTAGTTTCTCAAAGGAAGATAATGTGACTCCTAATAGTGAAAGATTAAAAATAGTAAATATGTAAAATATTTCAAGAGCAGTAAAAATACGTCGATCGTTCTATTATGGATGGATCGTTCTGCCTGATCCATCCAGGCAAAAAGTCCCTTAGCTATCAACATAAAGACTCGCTCAATTTACACATCCTGCTAACTCTAACATGGAGAGTTTAGCTTCGGTTTACAGTAATCATCTGTGTGATACCTGTCTTAGTGGTTTGTAAACCATGGTAGTCCAGGCCATTCTGGTTCAGGACAGTATAGTAGAAACAAACACTGGCTTAGAATGCTATGCAACTCCGTCTGAATCGGTTTCTTTCAATCAAATATCAAAATGTTCACCTTTGGATGGACTATACCCAAACATGACAATATAAGACTTTAGATGTAGAAACACTAAAGCAGTTGTCACGAATACTTTCAATATGATTTGGTTGTGTAAATCTGCACTGTAGCCAACAATTGTTTTCAACAAAACATGTTGAAACAGCTTTCAATGTGATCTTAATAGCCCAGCAGGAAATATATATTTAACATCTCATTCAAATACAATCAAAATTCAATTAAAATATACATATAACTTACATATATGAACTATGTAAATTATATGTATATTTTAATTTTGGCTGTATTTTAATGAGATGTTTACTATTACTTTATGTAGAAATTATATATATATATATATATATATATATATACTTAAAAGTTATACATAACTTATATAT